CGAGTCCCACCACGTCTCTGTCAGCCCTGTGACATCTGGGATATCACCAAAGGATTTGTAAGTATCTGAGCCCCCAGGCAGGGGTGGAAGATGTTTGCAGGTCCACCCATGTTTCTTGAATGACTCACAGATTTGGAATTGATTTGGCTGATTTGACTTGAGACACAAAAAATTTTCCTTAATGAAAAATAAATCTGCCTGTTACATTGTGGTTGTTCAGTAATAGTTATGTTGGCTAAGAAGAGCTGCCTGCTTTGCTGCATGTGACTTTGGAAGCACTCTATCCCCTCAAAGAGGTAAAGTCCTTCCTCAGGAGCTAGGCCAGACGGGAGGCCATGGATAAACAGGGGTGCCAGGTTCCCATAGGCCTGGCCTTGGAATCCAAGGAACCATGGGCTCGCCCATTCTTGGAGCTTTGCCTGAGCTGGCTTCAGGGGTTACCCCAGGAACTATACAAAGCTGGTGGGTCCTAAATTAGAGCTCCTTTGGTAAAACCGGACAATGTTTGTTGTTGTAACTGCTGCCATTCCAGTAAAGGGATATTTTAACTCCTTTAGGGTATAATAGTAGTCTCCAGAACAACACGAGTACTGTCTAAAGGCAAAGGCAAGCCTCGTTCCCTGCAGCTTGATTAGCTGGTTCAGTCCAACCTAATGAACTAACTAGGACCAGCTGAGGCCAAGCCCTTCCTGCTGATTGGTTCTGGGTCTGATTTTAAGAAACTCCTTCAGCAGCTGACCCATGCTGCAAAGCTTACTGGTCTCTAGTCCTTGAGCAACTCCTGTCCTGGTAATGTTTCTGACTTCTGCCCTGGCATCCCAGATTGTGTGTCCAAGTCCTCTGAATTTTGGTTTGAACTCAGCTTGCCCCTGCTTCTGGTTGGTCCCCTGGTTTGGTGTTTGGTTCTTGACCCTTGGCTTCTTATTTCCCCTCTCTTGGCTTGGAACATAGATCAGCCCTCGGTTGCTCCAATACATGGCTCATCTCTGTAATCCCTGGTCCCGCTCCTGGTTGTATCTACTAGGCTGGACTCCCTTGTGGACTGTGACTGGGACATGCCTGGACCCAGAGCAAAGGTATTTCAGGTGCTAGCTGAAGGATGTGGTGCTATTAGCAAGAAAGCTGTCTGCTGGTGTCTGATTCCTCCTGTGGTCTGAGAAGTATGACTTTACAATGGTTGTCAATGAAACACGCTGTATGAAAGTCTCTATCTCCTAACTAAAAGCAATCTAACAAAAACCTGAAACCTTGCCACTTTTATCAAAAGGGATAAGCATGTCCAGGCTTCTCATCTAGTTTGTCTGTTTTTAGAAGGCAATAGAGATTTTAGTCACATTTTAAACTGGTTCCCTAAAAGTAGGAATCCTAAATCCATATTTAGGAGCTGTGAATGCTCTGCACCACTGCAAAATCAGACCTCTTTATTTGGGTGGCTAATGGTAATTGGTTTTAGAACAACTACATTTGAAAACTTTGGTCTCTGGTCAGAGGTATTTGAGATCAGTTTCACTCATCTTGGGCACCTATACACATGATGGACCTCTGCTCCGACACCTGCTAATCAGCACACATCAGAACAGGCTTGATTAATCGAGCCTGCTGTGAGTCTGCTGGAGTGTGCTAAATAGCATGCTGTAGCAACCATACAGTTCACTCAATTCATGTAAGTTATGGAGGGGTGCCTTGAGCCCAGTTTTATGTCCAAAACAGTTGAGAACTACTGCTCTAGGGAAACAACTGAGCCCTGAGGTTAAAGGGCCATGTCTTAACTGAAGGAAGAAATGGCATTTTCCCTTTGCAGCTGTTTACTTCTAACCCTTCCCCCCACCCCAATCCTCACACACACACAACATGGAATAATTTGGCCTTGATCTTACAGCTCCCCTTACAGTACTTCAGAAGGCATTCATTCAGCATACTAGATCAACACCACCAGATATGTAACTGTTTAATATTGTGCCCTGGGCAGTACTGCATCCCATTCCCTTCCCTTCCCCTAACAGCCCTGCACCTGTTAAC